TCTTACAGACGAGTTGCCTAGGCTTGGTCGCATACAAAATTCTGGACATTGGAGAGAATCTAGGGCTACATGATCTGTGCTAAAACTTGTGTATATATCATCAAGGGCCAAGGCAAAGAGAATCTTATTGGGATGTGCTTGGCAGATATCAGATAAGCTCAGTTAATGTCTCTCTCTCATGTCTTTTGAGTTTTGAGCATATTTGATGGACGATCCTTCACCTAAACATGACCTTTAGTATCACAAGCGTAATTTCTATCATAATTATTATCATTTTTGTTAGCTTTAAGGCTTACGAGAGAAATTAAAATTAAATTGTCTACAAGGCAAGATCAAAACATTCAAAAAGAGAGAAGAAAAAAACATTCAAAGAGAAGGAGTTATGAGTCAAGAAAAAACTCAAGTACAATTATTATAAGGCCGATCCTTGTAATATTCATTCATATGTTTTGTTTTGTGAATTTTGGAGGTGAATGAATGGAAAAATCAAGTCAAAGCAGCTTTAGATTATAAACACATTCCAACTCATCAAACCCAAAAGCTATATATCTAAAGTGTTGGATCCGGAGATTCCATTGGAGAGAGCATCATATTAGAAGAGTTGATTTGAACCAAAACGAAACCTCTCTTTGTGAAATGAAAAAGAAGATCTTGTGAGAGGATTTGGAAATATCGATGTTTGTGTTGTTAACACTTAGTGATGTATACAAGACATACTGTATATACAATAAAGCTATCCGAAATAAACCGGTTTCACGTAAACCAAATACTAAACCAATATATACATTCTATCTTGATCTGTATCAAGATACACAACATCATTACGTTATGTCACAGATCAAGGCCTGACATCAGAACAAAACACAAATCAAGATGTCAGGCCTTGATCTCTAAACCTATTCTACAACGATATTTACCTTTTGCTGCATCCGACAAACTTTCGACTTTCGATACATGATTATAATCTCTTGTCAGTTGCTTCATGTAACGAACTTTCTGTTTTAAGATATCAGACATTCGAAAGNGTTAGTATCCAAGAATGTGGAGGTGATTCCAAGGTTGGTGAAGACAGTTTCGATAGGCTTGGATCTCAAGCTCTATACGCTTTTAACTCAAAATTCATGATAAATAAGTAACAGCCCATTGCTCAGCTTGTTAAACTAGTTTTGATTTATCTTCCAATGAAGTGACTCGATTCACTTTGAATGGATTATCTTTTCAAGGTATGGACCTTAGATGGAAGATGTTGTGTTGTGTGAGAGTGTTCAAAAGGGTCTTGAATAATCGGCTTACGACAAAGGAGGATATGCTCTTGTGCAGAAAGCAATTTCAATTGTCTACATCAGAATCTCAAACTGTATTTGTAGCATATATTGTACATGTGTTGTTTTTATGTATATATCTATTTATGTGAATATTATACTGGTCTACTCTCTCTAGACCAAGCATAAAATGAAAGCCAATTTGTAGCTATGTAACAACAAAGACTAATGCTATATCCTTTGGTTTTGGGGTCAATTTAGTTTTTGGATTTTGTTGGTTTATCAATTAGTTTCAACATCAATGGTTGAATGGGGTTTATTGTTGTATTTCGATTTTTGGTTTATGCTAGTTTTATCTTTTAAGGTGCATTGCATCTTTTGTGGTACTTTCCCTCTTTCCCAAAAAAGAAGATCCTACTCTTTAAACTGTACCTGAATAAGGGTCACTGCAGCACACATTTCAATGAGCTTTATCCTATTGTCAATCAATACTAATATAGCATATAACATCACATATTGAGGATCATACGTACAGGCAGTAAACAATCAAAAGAAACAACATACGCCAAATTATCACAAGAAACATCGGAAACCTGCACTTTGGACCGATATTATTAAATAGATAGCACCCATCTGAACATGTGCGAACTTAATGGAAAGAGTAATTAAGCATTATATATATATGACACGAAATAGGTTAAACGACTTGCGATTTAACAGTCTGATAAAACGTAGAACAAGATGAGGCATAGACGCATTGTAAAGAAAAATGATAGGTCTAATATAATACTCCCCCAACATAAAATCACAGAGCTAACTAGCGTTAACGGGACCGACACACTGAGCACAAATCTCTTGTGAGCCTTCGCTTAGGAGGCTTAGGTCCATAGTGCTTTTGAGCTGCTTTTCCTTAGGTCTAAGTGGAGAATTTCAATACATGTACTACACACAGCACAGAATCCCGAAGGCGCTTTTGCTTGCTCGCTTCCGCTTGGTTCCAAGCTGATGAACGTGTGTGGATATGCAGAGCCGACATTGATAAATTCTGATGTTGAAGCTTCAAGAAATCTGACATACTTGGTATCTTGTCCAATGTCCTTCGAGAGTACGAGGATGTTTGTTGATCTTCGACTCTCATGCTTATTATATACAATCATAAGAACAAACACAAACAGCAAATCAAGTCTTTTAATTCCTGCAAGAATAGTACACAAACACACAAACAAAGGTGAGAGAGATCTCATATTACACTAGAAGAAACAAACAGAAAAAAGGAAAAAAAATCAATCACCTTGGGCTTTGGGTGCTACATGGATCATAACTCTGGCATTGGAAAATTCATTGAACAAAATACTTCCGAGAGAATATTCTCATCAACAAAAGCATGGAATGTCTTTAGTATTAATATAAGACTCTGTCTTAAGATTTTTTTTTTTGAATTTCATTACAATCGAATAAGGATCGAGCTTTTCAAAGATTGAGACATCCTCAATGTCCCAGAAGACATCTATTCTGCGTTCTGGAAGGGAGATCGTGGATACAAGCAAATTAGATCCATCCGTAACAGATAGATTAGGTGATGAAATCGAATCCAGATCGATCATAGACGAAGAATT